GAAAAAGTGCTGTTGTTCTGCCACTGTAAAGCTGTTACACTGAGCTTTATGTTTTCATTGTTATGAAAAGTGATTTACACATAAAGTTAACGTTCATATCATTTTCAGTCTTCAGTGTTAATTTACCACACCGGACCAATGCTGCAAATCTGCAACATCCCAGACACACTGGATGTGAAGGTCTCTCAAAAAAAACCTCAGGATTGTATATTACTGCCCCATATGATCAATTTCCCCAAATATCTGATTTTTTCCTGTTACTAAACTTTAAATTGAGCCTGAGAGGGTTAAGATGACAAAAATCCCTAATTACATAAATAATAATTGAACTGTAAAATAAAAGAAATAAAACATATGTCCTTCTTTTCATTCATAAATAAAACAACTCAACTCAAGCTCATCTTTGCATTAACTCTGTTATCCAAACCAGAACCAGAACCATGAGCTCCTCCAGCAGAGGAAGATTGGGAGGTTCATTATTTTAACAGATCCATGTTCCAGCAGTAAGGAGCTCTGAGGTTTCCCACAATCCACTGCAGCTCAAACCCAACATTTCCAAACACTATTGTACAAGTGACACTGCAGCAGATTATTCATTAAAATCTTCTGCATAAATAAACTTTACATGACTAAACTTTACAACTTATAAAGCATAACAACTCTAGAGCCACATCAGCCCGTTTGACATTATCATGTGTTTAATGCAGCTTTGCGCAGACTTGTTTATGCTTTAGAAACAAACAGAAACAAAACTTAAAAGCACCTGGCTAATTTGCATAAACAGTGCACTCCTCATGCCGCTGATGTGATTCATCATCTTTCGGACCAAAGGACACGACTCAGTGGAATATGAGGAAGCGCTGCTGATGGTTTTGTCTGTAAATGGTGGAAAATTTTTGTGGCGCTAGAAGTTTTTCACTGGCACCAACTTTCAGCGTTCACAGCGATAGTGAAGAGTGACTGAGACACGAGCAGCAAAATCAGGGAGAAGAGGGCGCGAACAGAGAAGACAAACAAACGAAGTGGTGAAATCAGAATTGAATATAAGCATTACATCGATGTATACGAAATGTCAAAATCCATATCGAGTTTTAAAAATCTCGATATGTTTAAAATATCGAGGATTTTTTTCACTTTGTTGAGTCTGTTCATTTTCCCTCTGTTCTGGAATGATGTTTTTCACTCTCTTTTTTCAATCTGGTACATGTTTATTGTGAGTAGGTGTCCTGGTAGTGTTTTATTTATTTATTTATTTTTTGTGTGTGTGTGTGTGGGTGTCTGTTTTACTCAGCTTTTTGTCTTTATTTAAATGTTTTATCCTGACAATGCTGATATTTGTATTTTGTTATTAAATCAAGTTTGGAAGAAAAAAAAAAAAACAGACCTGGAGTTGTGTTTTGTTTCACGCATGTTTGATGAACTCTTTATTATTACTCTTATTAGTCTGTCTGTATCTCCAAAGCTCCAAGTCCTCCACCTCGTGATGTCATGATGTGTTTTGACTCCTCCGCTGTTTCACTAAAGACGAGATTTGATGAACATTAGAAACGGCTCGGTTTTTCACATGCAAACAGAGGCTGCGAAAGGTGAGGCCACTACGACCCACACTAGACTGACCAATAGGATTCAAGGACACGTTTTCATGTTTATCGAAGTAGTGACGATTGTAGCTTCCGGAAAAAACACAACTCCAAACACGTGCAATGGAAAGATTGTGACGCACAGTTTTACAAATAATGAGGAGCGGACGTATTTTATGGGTAAGTTTAGAGAAAGTGACTGTAGGAGCCATTTTTCTTTCATTTAGGCTGGGGTTAGTTTGGGTCACTGTTTGTCTGGGCACAGGGTGACCTATATTCGGCTTGGCCACAAGGGGGCAGGGTGGAGTCAAGCCCTATATAAATGCACAGGTGCCAGTGCACTGGGTGTATGGGTGACAGGAGGTCACACGGTTTTTACCGCTCTCTTTACGTCCGGTGGTCTAGTTTTCACTACTCAACTCTGTAATATTATCGAACATCTTTTATCCATTCTACTTCCTACTCCTTTCTGCTTTACGATCCAATCTGCCAATCGGGTAGCGCGTTAGGCCTGGATCCCCTGCACCCAGAGACGACAAAAGGTTAGGACTAAAATTGTCGTTACAGTGACTTTGGCTGCGTTCAGACTGCAGCCTGAAGTGACCCAAATCAGATTTTTTGGCCTCTATGTTCCTGTATCTGATCTTTTAATGTCAGTCTGAACCACACAGATCTGATTTTTTCAAATGTGACCCAGGACACTTGGATATGTGCTCCTGAAACTGATACATATCTGATCTTTTGACATGTGACTTCAGTCTGAATGGTCAAAGTGCATTCATCCACCTACACGTTATGAACAAGACACAAACGTCACTATTCTGCGCTGAAGGTAGAAAATTGTTAATGAACTCCGTGTCACTGAAGTGAAGCACATCACCACTCACCACTCTTGGCTCCGTCTCCACATCCACACGTTCCTTTCAACGGACGTCGCTGCTGCTGTCCCACAAAACACCACGACCAAAAACCTCGTCCTTCTCCTTCTCAATCTCCTCCTTAAAACAAGTAAGTTGTTCATGTTCTGGCTCCGGTACGAGAGGAACTTTAAAATCTCCAGGTGCTCAATGCTGCGTCCATGTTTGGACAACTTCCGTAAACACAGAGACGCTCACTGTGGTTGACGTCATCGTGTCTCCAGTGTCACATGTGGGACACTTTTGGGCCATTTAATGTTCACACTGGAGTCACATACAAGTCACATTTAATTGGAAATGTGAACGACCTCGCAAAAACATCGGATTTCACAAAAAAAAATCTGAATTGAGCGTTAAGCCCTGCAGTCTGAACGTAGCCTAATTTTAGCAATCTCACAAAATAAAGTATGCATAAGAGCCATGGCAAGGTACAGTTAGATAAAACATAAACTGTTATTTATTTATGAAGTTTAAAGTCAGTCATAATGATAGATTTACAATAAATAATAGGCAGTTTATTCCATCCATTCATCCATTGATTTTCTTCCACTTATCTGGAGCCGGGTCATGGGAGCAGCAGTCTAAACAGGGACTTCCAGACGTCCTTCACCCCGGACTCTTTCTCCAGCTCCTCCAGGGGGACCCCGAGGTGTTCCCAGGCCAGCCCAGAGACATCGTCCCTCCAGCGTGTCCTGGGTCTTCCTCTGGGCCTCTAATAGGTATTTAATTCATCAAATGTGAGTTATTCAGGACAATACGTGTTATTCAGTCATCTCTTGGTGAGCCACAAGGGGGTGGAGAGCTTCTGGTGGCTCCTAAGCTCCAGGTTGGAGACCCCTGATCTAGAACCTTCCGTCCCTTGGGTTATAGAAGCTCTCACCTCAATAACTCCCCCTCTGCTGCTGGTCACTTTACAGGTCTGAACTTTCAAGGTGCACTAAGAAACTTTTTGGTTGAAGTTCTATCACCTGCTTGTTTCTATGGAGATGTCATTGCTTTGTCTGGAATGTTCCACAGTGTGACATTAAAGAGCTCTACTTTACATTTATTCAATGACAGGTGGTTTTAAAGCTCCTCCTTCTCTCTCCTTCCCTCCTCTCCTCTTCCTCTCCCCTGTCTCCTTACCTCTCTGTTGTTTTCCCCCTCTCTTTCTTCTTTCTCTATCGCCACCCCCTCCTTCTCCTCTCCTCCCCTCTCTTCCTCCTCCTCTCTCCTTCCCCCTCTCTCCCTCCCCTTCTCCTCTCTCCTCCCCTCTCCTCCTCCTCTTTCCTCTCTGTTGTTTTCCCCCTCCCTCCCTCTCTTCCCTTCTCCTCCCTCCCCTCCTCCTCCACTCCTCTTTCCTCCTCCTCTCCTCTTTCCTCTCTTCCCCCTCCCCCCTCCTTTCCTCTCTGTTCTTTTCCCCTTCCTCTCTCTCCCCCCCTCTCTCTCTTATTTTCTCTATCGCTACCCCCTCCCCTTTCTTCCCCTCCTCTCCTCTTCCTCTCCTCCCTTTCCTCCTCCTCTCCTCTCCTCTCTCCCTTCTCATCTCTTCATCCTCTATTCTTCCTCTCTTCCCTTTCCTCCTCCTCCCTTCTTCCTCTCCTCTTCCTCTCCTCCCTTTCCTCTTCCTCTCCCTCCCCCTCTCCTCCTCTCCCCTCTTCTCCTTTCCTCTCTGTTCTTTTGCCTCTCTCTCTCTCTCTCTTCTTTCTCTATATCCCCTTCTCCTTCCATCACCCTCCTCTCTTGCTCTCTTTCCTCCTCTTTCTCAATGTATCCTTTCTCTCCTTTGTTTTCTCTCTCTCTTCTTTCTCTCTCCATCCCCTCTCTCCTCTCTCTCTTTCTCTCTTTGTACAACTACCTTCTCTCTCTCTCTCTCTCTCTCTGTATCCTTCCTGCTCTTTCTCTATGTGTCTTTACCTCTCTGTTGTTTTCTCCCTCTCCTCCCTCCTCTCCTCCTCCCTCTCCTCCTCCTCTCCTCTCCTCTCCTCCCTCCTCCTCTCTCCTCCTCTTCCTCCTCCCCTCCTCTCCTCCTCTTCTCCCCTCTTCTCTCCCCTCCTCTCCTCTTCCTCCTCTCCTCCTCCCTCCTCCTCCCTCCTCTCCTCTCCTCCCCCTCTCCTCCCCTCTTCTCCTCCGCCTCTCCTCCTCTCCTCCCCTCTTCTCCCCTGTTCTCCTCCTCCTCCTCTCCTCTGTCCTCCTATCCTCCCCCTCTCCTCCCCCTCTTCTCCTCCCCTCTCCTTCTCCTCCCTCCTCTCCGCCTCTCTCTCTCTCTCTCTGTTCTCTCTATCGCCACCCCCCTCCTCCTCCCCCTCTCCCCTCTCCTCCCCCTCTCCCCTCTCCTCCCTCCTCCTCCCCTCTCCCCGCGCGCCGCTCTTTAAACCGCCCTAATCGCTCCCTCCCGCCGCGGCGCGCGCGCGCTCTCGCCTCGTTCTCCCGGTGTTGTGGGGCGGTGGGCGTGGCCTGCGCTCTCCCCAGGTATCAGGTAATGAGCATCCCTCGCGCGCTCCGCCACACGGCTCCAGACCTCCAGCATGGACGTGAGGAGAGCCATCGGGGCGTGCGTGCCCTTCTTCCTCCTCGCCGTGCTCTTCGACGTACTCGGGATTATTTTACTCTTTCTGGGAATTTTCGCCAATTTACGCATCGACGGACGCTTCTACGGAGACTTCCTCATCTACACCGGATCGATCATTTTATTCTTCAGCATCGGCCTGTGGTTGCTGTGGTACCTGGGCAACATCCCGCCGCCGTACGACCCGCTCACGGCGTCGGTGAAGCACGGGAACAGCATCGTGGAGATCGCGCGTAAATTCTCGCGGCGGCTGAGCGAGAAGCTGACCGAGACCGTGAAGGGCAAGTACGTGACCGAGGACGAGACGAGTCCGCCCGGCACGCCGGACCTCAAACCCGGGCGGGTCACGTGGGGCAAATCCACGGCGTACGTCAACAAAGGTTACGAGGAGGATGAAGAGGCGGAGGAGACGAAGAAGAAGATCGACGAGGACGATGACGTGAAGGTACAGGAAAAACGTGACATGGATTAAGAATATTTGTACTTATTTGCGTAGTAATTATACTTTTATAGACTATTTGTTTACTAAGATTCCTAGATGAGACTTGGACAAACTTTTTGGATCGATAAAGGGAATTATTTGGACACTGGCTCACAAATCCCAATAAAAACAAAGACCAAAAATATGTAAATTCAAAATAAATAGAAACAATTCGTCAGGTTTGTTTCAATTACACTTCCGTTCCGTTCCAAGTTAGTCCTGGTTCAGTTCTGGTTTAGTCCTGGTCCTGTTATTTAGGCCAGTTTTAGACCTGGTTCAGTTCTGGTTTAGTCCTGGTTCTGATGTTTAGGCCAGTTTTAGTCTTGGTTCAGTTCTGGTTTAGTCCCGGTCCTGGTGTTTAGGCCAGTTTTAGTCCTGGTTCAGTTCTGGTTTAGTCCCGGTCCTGGTGTTTAGGCCAGTTTTAGTCCCGGTTCAGTTCTGGTTTAGTCCCGGTTCTGATGTTTAGGCCAGTTTTAGTCTTGGTTCAGTTCTGGTTTAGTCCCGGTCCTGATGTTTAGGCCAGTTTTAGTCCTGGTTCAGTTCTGGTTTAGTCCCGGTCCCGTGTTTAGGCCAGTTTTAGTCCTGGTTCAGTTCTGGTTTAGTCCTGGTCCTGGTGTTTGGGCCAGTGTTAGTCCTGGTTCAGTTCTGGTGTAGTCCCGGTCCTGTGTTTAGGCCGGTTTTAGTCTTGGTTCAGTTCTGGTTTAGTCCCGGTCCTGTGTTTAGGCCAGTTTTAGACCTGGTTCAGTTCTGGTTTAGTCCTGGTTCTGATGTTTAGGCCAGTTTTAGTCCTGGTTCAGTTCTGGTTTAGTCCTGGTCCTGGTGTTTGGGCCAGTGTTAGTCCTGGTTCAGTTCTGGTTTAGTCCCGGTCCTGGTGTTTAGGCCAGTGTTAGTCCTGGTTCAGTTCTGTTTTGATCCTGAATATCCGATAAACATGTCCTCGCTTTTCATGTCTAATTATAACTCGTGTACAGAAATAAACGCGATTTAACGGATGGATGAAGATTATTTGTAGTTTGTTGTTTTTTTTTAGAGCCGATTTATGTAATTCGACTCCCACGAGACTAACGTTTCACAATATTACCTCAGACTTGTTGCAAAGCCGTTTAATCTCCTGTTCTTTACGATGATTAGGCGACGCCATGGCACCCTGGTTAAGAGCGTGTCCAAGGTTTTGTTACGCGGTTTTAGGGCGCGTCCACGCTTCTAAATTGGAACTAAACCAGGACTAAACCAGGTCTAGAAGAGGACTAGAACAGGAGCGTACCAAGTTTTCATTTGGGCTAAAACTAGGACCAAAAAGGCGACATCATTTGAGCTGCGTAAAGTTTGAGTGTGCGTAAAATTCGGGTTTGGTTCTGATTTTAACTAAACTTTTCTCAAACCGTGACTTTAACCCAGGCTGTTTTAATGGGCATCCGTGTTTACAGTGCCGCGAACAAAACGTGGACACGCCGGAGGAGGACGGCGCGGAGGAGAGCGTGGACGTGAAGGGAGAGGACGCGTGCGCACCGGAGGAAGCCAGAGACGGCGGCGGGGACGTGGCGGAGGACGCGACGGAGGACCGGATGGGAGACGTAGCGTTTTGAGCCACGCCAGAGCGGTACAAAGGCGCACAAAGCTGGTGAAATACTGGCGTGTAACATGAGCCGTCGCGAGGAGGACTGAAGGGGAAAACAAAACACGGCCGGACGAACGCGGCTCACGGCGCAAACGTGCACTTTACACTTTAAACACGGAGTTTGGGAAGGAAAAACGCGACCCAAAAATGTAAACATGTAGATAGACGAACAGCATGACTGTGTGTTACTCTAAAGAATGTTTATATGAGGCTACAGATACGGCCATAGACATCCATACACATGAATGCACCTGTATGTTCTGATACTGGACGAGTGTCGTGCCAAAGAGCACCAAAATAACATGAAGTGCAGCTCACCAGGACTAAACCATCACCCACACAAACACTGTTACATCTACAAATACTACAAATACTACAAATACTACTACTACTGTTGTTATTACTACTGTTTTTGCTGCTGCTGCTGCTGCTGCTACTACTACTACTACTACTACTACTACTACTGCTACTTCTGCTACTACTACTAATAATAATACTTAGCCCTACTACAAAGAATTGCATTACTACCAAGGACTACAATTACTACTACTACTACTATTGCTGCTACTGTTACTACTACTAGTACTTCTACTTCTAATACTAAACCTACTACAAAGAATTACATTACTACAAATACTACTACTACTAATACTACTACCACTACCACTACTTCTACTACTACTACTGCTACTACTAGTACTACCACTAGTACTACCACTAATAGTAGTATTACTACTACTATTACTACTACTACTACAACTACTACTACTACTGCTAGTACTACTACTACTACTGCTACTGCTAGTGCTACTACCAGTACTACCACCACTACTACTACTACTACTAATACTTAGCCTACTACAAAGATACATTACCAACAAGAACTACAATTACTACTACTACTACCACTACTTCTACTATTACTACTGCTACTACTAGTACTAATATTACTACTGCTGCTGCTGCTATTGTTGCTACTATTGCTAATACTACTTCTTCTACTTCTAATACTAACTTCTAATACTAAACCTACTACAAAGAATTACATTACTACAAAGGACTACAACTACTGCTACTGCTGCTACTACTACTACTACTACCACTAGTACTACAACTACTACTACTACTGCTACTACTAGTACTACCACTAGTACTACTACTACTACCACTACCACTAGTACTACTGCTACTACTACCACTTGTACTACTACTACTAATACTGCAAAGAATTACATTACTACAAAGGACTACAACTACTACTATTCCTACTACTATTACTACTGCTACTACCACTACTACTACTACTGCTACTACTACTACTACTTCTACTACTAATACTTAGCCTACTACAAAGAATTACATTACCACCAAGGACTACAATTACTACTACTACTACTACTACTATGACTGCTGCTACTACTGCTACTGCTACTATTACTACTGTTGCTGCTGCTGCTCCTACTACTACAACTACTACTACTACTAATGCTACTACTACTACTGCTGCAGCTACTACTACTATTACTACTATGTTATCAAATGTACTGTGACTTTCTTTTCAGGGATGTGTTTTTTTACTTTCTTTACTGCACAGTTGATGTATTGAAATATGAAAACTGGGAGCTATAAGCAAAGTACACGCTTGTAGTCCGCAGCTCAACACTGAAGGGTTGGGCCATTTGAAGCACTTTGTACACAAAGTACTATTAAATATTATTATTATTGTGAACAAGAATCAATGGAACTGTTTTTTATGTGTTTTCTGGTACAAATGCCTATGACATTTTGAACTACTCATTATATTAAAACAGATTATTATTATAAGAATTTACCAAAAAACATTCACATCTGTTTCCCAATTTGGCAATTTTTTAGGTTTAAAATTTTACTTTTCTGGTTGGAAATTGTGACATCACACTGGGTATTTGCACTCCTCTAACGTACACAGAAATTATTATCTGACAAATACAAATATAAGAAAACACATTTATTTTTATTGAAATCATGTTTGAAGTCTGAGAAAAATTGCATTCCTTGTGTAAATCGTGCGGAACGTTTGGATAGAATTCTCCCAGCGTGATGTCATTAATACTGTACGTCTGAACTAAAACTACAATTATTATTAATATTTGCAACAAAATCTGAATTTATTTGTTGTTTCAGTATAAAAAATACACAGAAACACTGTACTCAGGTCCAGGTCATCAGCAGCACAAGTAATAACAATAAATAGTTTTTAAAAATTGTATGTTGTGTCAAATAAATCTTACGAAAATTATAGAATCATAAAAATCTGTCAGAAAATCAGACACTAATCCATCCTAATTTTTCGCAGGTATCGATACTGAAGAAGTTTGATTCACAGGACAGAAATGAACCTTTCCTGAATGTCTTTAGAATGATGTATCGAATGAAGTATTGGATCGGTATCGAGTATCGAGACTATTCCTTGAAACTGAGTTTGTATTTTTCGTGTCATGGCAACACACCTTCCTTCATTCACTGTTAAGCAAAAGCATCTTATTCCATTTGTTTATTCAAAGTAAGAAAGAGAAGTTTAAGTTTGTTTACTGAAGGTTTCAAACATTTACTTGGCATTTCATTTAGACTTAGACTTGATGTGCTTGTCTCCATGGAAATGTTGTTTCTGCATCTGAAGTGTTCCACAGTTTGGCATTAAAGGGACAGTTCGGAATTTTGTACATAGGGCGTCATTTCCTAGTTCCAAGTTTTTTGGCGGGGTGTGTCCGTGGAGATTAAGGCTACGTTTACATGATGACGGTCTGAACTAGGGATGGGCATGATTAGTCGATTAATCGATAATTGGTCATTAAGAATTTCATCGATTACATTAATTTTAATCGACAAACCGAATGTAGGTTGCTGTGTGTAGTGTGACTAAACAGGTCTGTACATGTGTCTCTGCATCAGAAGGAGCGAGACACAAACAGTGGGTCAGTCTGCAACGTACCGAAGCACAAATGTGGATTTAACGATGATTTGTACAAGAAATTCCACGCGTGTGAGGCCATGTGCACAGTGAACAAAGCAGCACATATGTTTCGGTGTCCAGAGGGAAAAAGTTTTGCCAGGTGAGAGTCGCACAATATGGATGACAAGGCCCCGCCCCCCTCCCCCCGTACGGTGTCCTGGTTTTATGTAAATCTGGTCACACTAACCTGTATTCCACTGAGTCATGTCTTTTAATCCGACAGAAATTGACTGCATCAGCGACACAAGAGCTGTAGTTTTATCTTCACTTAGTTTATGCAAATTAGCGATGTAGTTTTAAGTTTTGTTTCTCTGAGAGTTGAACAAAACGGAATTAAACACATTATAATGTCAAACGGGCTGATGTGGCTCTAGAGTGTTTACAGTTTATATGTCGTAAAGTTGAATTTATTTATGCAGATTAGTAGTACAGATGGTAATAATAATGATGATCATTTTAATATAAAAATGTTAATGATTAATCGATAATCGATTGTTAATTCTTCTGACGATCAATTAATAAAATTTCATCGAATGCCCATCCCTAGTTTGAACAGAAGACGCAAAAGTGGCATCGCGTCTTCAATTTTTATTCTGTGTTTAGACGAGCGTTTTCTGGAGGAAATCTGCGTGCATACGGTGACGCAAAAGTGTGTGGAATTGGATTGTGTATGCATGTCAGATGGTTCGGTGGTGATGTATGTGACGTAAACTCGTACGCGACGTGAGCAGATCTGACCAGAGTTTTGTGTCTTGGGCAGAGTAGACGGAAACGCTACGGCCGAGCGTATTCAACTTTTCCACTCGGGAGGGTGGTTTCAGATTTTTGCGTTTTTAAGCCCCAAAAACGTCTAAACCGAAAGGCACTTCCGATAAATTTTGTCGCTTTTACCCTTAAGCTTTTTCGTGTAAACAGGCCCCTAGATAAGGCTAAATTACACGCCAGATCTGCGCTCACAAAAAAGAAAGTGCATGCTTTTCACGGTTTGCTTCAACAACAGCACTTGGGACTGGATGGAATATTTCAAAAAGTGTCTCCACACATCTCCAACACTCTGGCTCACTAGGAAATGACATCCTGTGTCGAAAATTTCTAACTGTCCCTTTAAATCAGTCTTTCTTGGTTTTACTCAGTTATGTTGTTAAGTGTTAATGTTGAAGCAAACCGTGAAAAACTTGCACTTTCTTTTTTGTGAGCGCAGATCTGGTGTGTAACTTGGCCTTATCTAGGGGCCTGTTTACAGAACGCTTAAGAGTAATAACGACAAAATATTTGATTGGAAGTGCCTTTCGTTTAGACGGTGACGGTGTTTTTGGGGCTTAAAAACGCATAAATCTGAAACATCCTCCAGAGTGGAAAGGTTTAATACACTTCGCCGTAGCGTTTCCGTCTACGCTACCCAAAATGCAAAACTCTGGTCAGATCTGCTCACGTCGCGTACACGTTTACATCACATACATCACCACCTAGTGTCACCACCGAGTCGCCTGGCATGCAAACTCAATCCAATTCCACACACTTTTGCGTCACTGTATGCACGCAGATTTCCTCCAGAAAATGCTGGTCTAAACGCTGAATAAAAAGTGAAGACTGTTCAGACCGTCATCATGTAAATGTAGCCTTAATCTCCATGGAGACACACTACAAAAAACTTGGAACTATGAAATGACGTCCTATGTCCAAAATTCCAAACTGTCCCAAACTGTAAAATATAAGATATAAACACTTTCCGTATTTTCCCCACTATATGGCGCTCTGGATTATAAAGCGCACTCTCATTGAATGGTTTATTTTCGAACATTTTTCACAAATAAACCGCGTGGACTTTAAAGGAAACCCAACAGTGTGATGGGTGAGTGGTTTTGTTTGTTTGTGGCGTTCACGGTGACTCTGGGCTTTGTTCAGTTGTGGCGTGTAGGGAGGGTGCTGTCTGGGATCGCTGGATTGTCGGCGTGTTCGCAGTGACTCAGTTGTTCAGTCGTGTCTAGAAGTGGCACATTGCACTTGCTTTTTCGGTTCGTTCCTCCGTTCCGTTCCTCGTCGGCGTGGAGTGATGAGTGTGTCTGTGGGTGTGTTTCGCTGTGCGGTCGCTGTCTGCTCCGTGTGTGTTTGTGTTCTGCGGACAGTGTTGGGAAGGTGACTTTTAAAATGTATTCCCCTACAGATTACAGATTACATACCCCAAAATGTAGTTTGTAACGTAATCCATTAAATTACTTAAAGTGAGTAATGTAATCTGAATACTTTGGATTACTTAATTTGCTGTAGAGAAGCAAAGATGAGGAAATCGTCACATAAAATGTTTTATCTGCTAAAAGAAAATAAAAAGTCCAGACTTTACTTAATCAAATTAAAAATATTATTGATAGAAGAGGAGGAGACATGGTCCTGTTAAATCTTGTTTTAGACCTGGTTTAGTCCTGGTTTTAGACCTGGCTTAGAACTGGTTTGGACCTGGGTTTAGACCTGGTTTAGACCTGCTTTCGTGTCCAGCAATGAGTGGAATTACCAAACAAAAAAAAAAAAAACAAAAAAAGGGAGTAGCCCAAAATGTGAAAACAGGAAAATCCCTCTGTGTAATCCATTTATTTCAACAAAGTAACTTTAATCCAATTACCTCTCATTCAAACAGTAACTGTAACTGAATACAGTTACTCATAATTTGTACTCTGATTATGTAACTCCAGTACATGTAATCTGTTACTCCCCCAACACTGTCTGCGGGTGGTGCGGCTTTGTAGTTTACTGAAGTCGTGCTGGGACACCTGAGTGGATTCGTGTACGGGTGCTCTGGATTGTGGGACGCGTGGTCGTTTTTTGATGGGGTTGGAGGTTTATGAGTGCGCCCTATAGTACGGAAAATACTGTAAATCTATCAGAAAACAACTTGAAGTAGTAAAATTATCTATGCCACAAGATCATTTTACTTGACAAGTTCTCTTAAAATAAACGACCTCTAGACTAGAATGGAGCAGTCTTAGAAATAGTAAATAGATAATAAATCTGAAAACAAGATGAATAAACAATATAGGCGAGTTTCATTGTTGACAAAAGCGCGCGTTGCA